GGTGAATTATAAATACTGTGTTTCTTAAAGCAAGGCCTATTTAATAGCAAGTTTTGTAGTAATTTTTCTGGCATCTTTTGTGGAAAGCTTGTTTTTGGAGCACAGTTCTACTCAAAAATCATGTATTTCCAAAAGTGATATGAAAATATGGTAGCATATTAGAGTCTGATGTCCCTGGAAATAGATCTGGGGCCAAAGGAACTTCCAGGAACCACACGGGGTCAGGGAGTTCAGTTGGGTATCTTTCATAAAAGCAATAAGGAATCTCAGTAAGTTAATAAGCTTGCAAGTCATCAGATTTTCCACATGCAGTCATGTAATGCAAGTGCAATAGAGTGTATTAATAGTACTCCAATGTAACATTTTCCAAGTGTTTTGTAGTAATACTGGTTGGGTCATGTACTTCTAACAAGCATTAATGTTCCTCAGGGAAGACTCAGAGTATGAAGTGCCTTATAGGACCATAAAATGCGGAATAATCAAATCTGTGAAGAACAGAGCACAGTGAAGATGACAGGAATATATGATGCTCGTGTATTGTGGAACAGGCATTCCCTCTATTTCAGTGAAAAGCTGGAGGAAATTATTTGGAAGAATATTCATTGTATACATGAAGCAGAAAGTAACTTTACATAATGCTCAAGTTTCCTACTTAATCAACACGTGGCCATGGGGAGCTTCTGGAACAGAAAAGACCTGGAATTGCTGCTGTCACCTCAAAATCTTTGCCCAGTGTCCTTTCCTCCCTTTATGTTTATTTTCAATAGCACCTGGCTCTTCACTGAGTTGCTGGACAGTCAGGCCGTGTTCTTTGCCACAGAGTATGGAGAAGGTGATGATGAGATGCCACATGGGTACCATTCCCATGAGTTAATCTTTTGGTGAGGGCATCCTAGAGTGCAAGCCTGACTTGTGGCTGAGGCTGAAGAAAAATTGTGGCTCAACAACATTTGATTAGTCTGCATGCTGTTATTTTGAGAAAAAACCAAATCCATAATTGAGAGATGCATCCAGTTAAGGGAAGTTCCAGTTGAACATGATGTATTTCCATTGATGGACTACAGGGGCAAGGTTCATTCTTTCTTTTGTAAGAACTGTTACTGTTCACATGTCTTTAACTGATGGCAGTATTACCTGCCTGTCAGTATAGCTAAAAGCCAGTGCCACTGAAAATGATGGAAGGTATAGCTTAATAGCCTAACCATGTCTTTGTATTTCAGCCCCAGGCTCAGTCTGATGTCTGACCCTGCCCAAATTTGTACCCAAAGTTTGACACTGTCCCCTGCTGCAGGGATGTTCAATATATCCTTACACAAAGATGTCTTTCCTGCTTTGTCTGCAGTTAAGGATGCTTCTGGGCAAGGCTGCATGTGAAAGTATGGATCTGCAGGTTCATATCACCTGTGACTGCATGTCATGGCAGTCTGTTGTCACCTGCCCTGTGGTGGCTCCTGAGCTCTGCAACAGCAGAGCATCCTGTCCCAACTTACAGGGAAACATTCCTCACAGCCCTGGAGCTACAAAATCTTCTAAGTCAGGGACTGAAATATTTTGTTCTGCTAAAAGTTCATACACACACACACTTATACCCTACATATGAAGATTTACAAGAACAACTTATGTTTTACAGATTGTATGAACTTCCAAGTATATTTTAATATGGAAAAAATTCAGTTAATATCATAATCCATGTAATGGATTAACATCTGGTTCTGATTTCCCAAACCTCGGCTTCCAAACTCTTCAGAAATTAATGGGAAAGTCAGTAGACAGCTTCAATACAGAGCATAGTATTAATTCTTCATGTCTGTTTCATTTTACTTTATTTAGACTTGAAAGATATTCTGTCCTACTGGCGTGAGTTCAGAGATCTTCCCTCATCACCCATGAATGGGAACCACATCACTACATCCTCATATAACTCAAAGGAGAATTTTGAGGGAGAGCAGCCAGAGAAATTCAGCCCAATCCATGTCATGGGTTGTATAAAACAGTTCTTGTTTTATACAAGATTTAGAATTTATTGATTAATACAGGTCTTCATTTTCAGACAGAAAAAGCCTTGTTAACCCCTGTTAACCAATAAGCCAGTGAAGAATTGGGCCAATCTAGGAAACTCAGGTTTGGTGTTTCAGTCCTAACATGTCACACTGTGGGAGTTTTGCAATGGTAATTATGAAACAAGAGAGATTTATATGAGTGCTATTTATCTGTGGCTTTCTATTAAAATCTGTGTATGTTGTGATATGTGAGATATTGCCATTTTATTTGGCAATGACTTTGGTGCATATTAGGTAATGAAGTGTTGGGGCACTGTGAGGACTGGGGGCTCCCATGGGTCTGGGAATATCCCCAGGAGATGAAAGGGCATTTGTAATCACCCCTGGTAGGTGGCTGCTAATTCAGAGTAACCATTTTTACCCTTATTTTATGCATTAAAAAAAATTTGAAATTAACCATCCTTCTTTTTTTAATTTTCCATGGAACAATTATTTGCCATTATGATGAGTGCAACTGTCACATACAAGGTATTTTGTGCACTTAAAAATTCAGCAGGTGCTTTCCTGGCACCCCAATATTCCATTGCTGCACCTGGTGATTTACACTCTTCATTTAATATAATCTTGCCAAATTATATTAAGTCTAATTTGACCCTTACTTCTGTACATCTAGAATGATGGTATGACCAATTTTTTTATGTCCAGAAGTAGGACTGAATAGTAGAAGGTAAATGCTCAGAGTGCTAAAAGCTCTCAGATTTTTATCTCGACATCAAAGACCTAATCTTATCAAATTAATTCCATTTTCATGAGCGGTAGCCATGGACTAGCCAGAGTTCAAGAACATAATCATGTTCAAAAAGGTTTCTTACCCTAACACTCAGTGTGTACCTCAGGTATGCAGGTGATAACAAAGAAACAGGCAGGTCATGGCTGTGACTGCAGGACAGAGGATATTTAAATAAGAGATGTGTGTGTGGCCATAGGACCAGAAGGGTACAGCCAGCCTTGAAAGCCTTGCGAGAGAAGCAGTTGATGAGAGAAGACAGATTTTGGCAAGAATGAGGGAGAGAGGGATTGTCATAAAAAGAAGCAGGGTAACAAGGAAGACAAACCTTTATTTTGTATAACTTGGGCTGCTGCTTCTGGGAAGCTGCTGCTGATTTTGCTGCCCACCAGGCTGTGGCAATTCTGCTCTCACTATGGCAGGTTAGGTGGTGTTTTATCCCATGCAACTGGTAATGGAAGCCTCATTGCTGTAGTTCTGCAGCTGAACCTGCAGCATTTCTGTATGTTTAGAAGTGATATCTGGAGGCAAGGGTGCTGAGGTAGCCCAGAGGGAACGCAGAGCAGTCCTGAGTACTGCAGTGAGACCCTGTGAGGTGTTAGTGTCTACCTTGGTATCTGTTCAGGCTCACAGAAGATCTGTGTTTCACAGCTGAGCACTGCACTGGGGCTGCAGCCATGAGCCAAGCTGGAGGTGTGTGCCCCTGGGCTGTGAGGCAGCCCTGATTGCCCCAAGGTGTGCAGGAAGGTGCCTGCATTGGGTCCTGCACGTAGACTGGGAACTGGAGTGCCTTCGTCCCTCCAGTAAATCAAAATCTTGCACACATTGATTCAAAGCGCTCCTAAATAAATGAGCCTTTCAGCTGGTGTCAATAGGATTACTAGTTTCTTTCCCATTCCTCAGCATCCTTGGGTCCCCAGAGAATATAATCAAGCACAGCAGACTGTAGCAGTCAGGGCTTGGAGATTATGTAGTATCCAGGCACAGACTTGAGGAGTCATGTTTGCTGACATTAGGTTGACTACAGCTTTATGGTCATTTTACACATGACAGCACATCAACTGTGTAAACCTTGCTGGTACAGGAGATTGCCTATGACTAGCTGCTGTGAAATTGAAATGATTTGTCTGTGTCTATGTGGACTGAAAATCATGGCTCTTGTTTGCTAGTCATTGCAATTTCTCAAGCTTCTTTTCTAATTTGGTGTAATTTTGTAGTGGAGACAAGGCATTAAGGGAGCTCATAGTGCAGGTATATGTCAGATCCCCACTTCATCAGTGCCTCCCATCAGCCTCCCATCAGACTGACTGGGCTTCACCTTGAGACCACAGATCATATTGTATTTTCCGAACTTCAGTAGAATTTATTCCAGGAAAAATCTGTGCTATTGCAGAGGGAAATATTACCCAAGGTCACTTAGGATAACAGAAATGAGCTGTAGCTGATGTGATTTCTGGTGAATAACCTGTGGATTCAGGTACCATTTAGCACAACTGGTGTAGAGTTTGAGCCCTTGGGTTCCTGTGTTTTCAGGGTAACTGTATAGAAAATAATAGATGTGCTAGCCTGTGTGCCATAGCAATTCTATAAATAATGATTGTACTTGTTCTCATTTTTCGGACTTAACAAAGCTGTATAAAGTTTGTGCTGTATTTTAAGCATAATTTTGTACATGTTAACTGTATTTTGCTGTAAACTGGCATAGAAAAATTGAAAATGTTTTGACCTATTCTTTTTGATCAAAATCAAATGTTCCTGTATGGTCCATAACCTGACCATTCCATGTGTCACAAGGAAAACAGAAATGTCCCATATTAGTTTTTTTGTGATATTCTATTTCATGTGACTTAAGTACTGTAAAGATTGGGATAAACAGACTTTATGCAACATAACATCCAAGTACAGAACATTTTATATGACAAAAGGAACAAAGACTCCCACTGAAAACCTGCTGGTGTCAAACAATCATTTATTCTGCTGTTGTTGACTTGCCCCTATCTAAATGACAGGGGCTTAGCTGCAGGAAACAATATTCCAACAAGTGCTTGTTAAACCCTATATAATTCCTGTCACATCAAAAGCCTGTGTGGAATTGTGTGCTTTTGGCTTCAGTGCTCTTTTTTTCTCACACATACAGAAACAATACATGAGGAAGTACTAATGCTTATCAAGAAAGAAGGCAACTTTTCACAAACACAGCACATCAATGAATCTTAAACAGCAGGTCTGAAGTTTGGGTGAATTTCAGGGCTGATGTCACATATTGTGCTCAGGAGCTTTTTCATCATACTCTCCATGTTCCTGTGGTAGCTGCTTGTGAGGTTTCGGATGGCTTCTGTGGTTTGCTCTTCTATTTTGGCAGAGAGGTTACCTTGGGACCCCATTACCTGAAAAGCAGAAGACCTCTGAGCAAAATGAGAGGCTATATAGGACCATGTTTATTGTACTTTTCTTCATCATGTAGCACAAGCATAACACAAACACATGACAGAGCTTCTGAACAGTGAGGGTTTGATCTGAGTTCAACTGTATGCATAAAAACAGGATTAAAGGCAACTCTCATATGCTCATTAGCAATGGGAATCTCCCTATGTAACGAAAGTTTCCCAGCCCTCTATGGGAAAAACATCGTGTATGTTTTGTCTTTTATATGGCTAATTTTAATTTGTTTTCTATTTTAATGACTAGTCAGCTAAGCTCTATCACCGTGTGCCTTCGTTTGGCCTCACTGAGAATGCCTGTGACTGCAGCTAAGGACCAAACATGGAAAAACCTTCCTGAAAATGCATAATTACTGTTTCAGAGTGCTTGAAATGTCTTCAGCAGTTAGTGATGTATAACCCTCAACAGGCCTTAGACAAGGTCTTTTAATATTACATTTTCTTATCTGGCAAAATACCAGACAGCTTCTGGCACAGTTAATATCAGGACATTCGCTTAGAATTTAATTGACTCTAGACTCACTGAACATTTTAGCAAGGTTATGTTATAAACAGATGCACACGTTCCAAATCTGTGACTTTGCTCCCTCCTCCCCCACTGCCCCAACATCCCTTGAATTCTTCCCTTATGGAAAAGTCCTTCAGATACCAGCAGAAAGATTGGTTTCCAGCTAAAGAATTCCATGTGGAGAGAAGAAGACATTTCTGCATGCTGGCAGAATAAGAAAGGATTAAGTAACACATTGTTCTTGTTCCTGCCATGGTTCTCTGGGGTGGACTACTGGGTGGAGCTAACCTGTGATATATTAGTGGGGTACCTAGAGCATGACCAGAAACAAGGGAGGGGTCATTAACTCTATTTTCCATGTGGTTTCAGCCCAACTTAGTCCTTAAAAGAAGGAAAAACATCTTTTGCATAAGCCACCTGCATAAGCCACCTTCCCTGTTCCATTTATCATTACCTGGCAACACAGTAAGACATTTGTCCATAATCCACATGTAAACCATTTTTCAATTTGGAAGTAATGTAGGCTGTACACATAATAATAAATATTGGGAAAATATTATAGTTTTCTCTAACTATGTTTAGCTGACATTTTATTTTAACTTTTAGTTGCAAGGGTTGCGTGTGGAAAAGGTTTGTACAACTTAGAGCAGATTTATGGAACTGAATTTTTCCACTGGGGAAAGTAACTTTCTAGAGATCCCAGATGGTTCCATGATATCCAGCTATTAATACTTTTGAAAAGCCTCAAGAAATGTATTATAATTTTAAGAAGAGCCTCTGCTGACCTGCTTTCTCAGCTTATGCTACTATTGTAATTTGAGATAGTAAATTCTTATTCTTCTATGTATTTTCCCTCTCTTTCTCTGCTTCTGAATTTGAGGACCTTTTTCTTGTAGAATGCAGGCAATGCTCTGTTTAATTTATGATTTCTGCTGACCCTGAAGGTCTGTCCCTTATTTTTCCCAAACAGGTTTTATGCTACTCTAATTTCAAAGCTGCTAAAATATTACATTGGCTCAGAAGTCACAAAATTCAGAACTAGGCTGCACATGTCCAGTTAGGCGGCCTCAGACGCTGAGTGAAAACCCTATGAATTCTAGCAAAATTGGTTTGAGATCCAGGCAAAAAATTTTGCATATTTTGAAAAGAGATTTTGCATATTGTCATTCTAACCTCAATCGTTATTTTTCTGTTGCTGTTGTTAATTCTGGATGGATATGAACCATCTCATAGTATGAGAAAATTTGCTCCTGTTTGGATACAAGTAACACAAAGTAAGAGGAAGAATGGCATTAAAGGAGGCTGTGACAGAAAATTAGAAATACTTGTGTCCAAATACCCAAGAAAGTAAACTGGACTGGGCATCAGAGCTCCCTCTGCACTGACTTTGCTGGAGCTCCTGACTGCCTCCCAGACACAGGTTAATAATGTTGGCATTTATCTGGGAAGATGAATGTTGGACATAATGGGGTCAGGGAATGTGGAGGAGGACTGCAGTGATTTTGTACAATATGCTGTCATTCCAGGGGCAATATGTGCTCTGTCCTGCTCGTGTGAAACATTCAGTCGACAAATAGTGGCCTTTCCCTGCAGCTTTAATTTGGCTGTGATGACACAACATCTTTACTTTTCTGCTATCAAGACCTAGAACAAAATGCCTGGCTTGACTGAAAATGTGAACAAATTTTAGAAGTGTTTTTACTTTATTTTGGTGTCAGTAAACAACTGAATTTGTACATTTGTAACATTTCTACGTGGCCTGCCTGTGTGATAGTGTGTCTGGAGGTTGGCAGGGTATGATAGAGACTTTGTGTGCATAGGAGTTCCTATGGCTTAGTGATCCCTGCTGGAAAATGTTTTATGTGAAGTGTGACTGAAATGACAGGTTTGTAAAACTGACTTTGTTTGACCTTTTTGGGGTTGTTTTTGTTTTTGTTTTTTCCCCCCCAGTGTCCGTTTTTCCACAAGTACTTTCCTTGCCTTTCCACAATAGAAGCTGGGGGAAAAACAAGACCAAAAATGTAGGAGGAAGGTCACCTGGTAAAAAGAGAATGGTTTGTGAATTTCATGGAAATACTACAGAAAAATGCAAGATGCCATAAATGTATAAAACGGCTTTATTCAGATATGAAAATATCAAGTCAGACCACTTTTACTATAGAAACAGTGAAAAACTCCAAAGTTTTGGTGATTTCAGTTGCTAAAGGATGCAGGCTTATATGTAATGAAAGCTAGAGTGGAACAGAAATGGAAAGAAACATTTTAAACTTTTGCTTTTACTGAGACATCCACCTTACTGAATCCTCTAGTTTCAGGAAAGGAACTAGGTCTGTCTGTGGTTATAGAAAAAAGACCCAAAAGTATCTTTTCTTAAGGGGAATCTTCAAAGCGTAAGCATGAACCAAATATGGAATCTGGACCATTTTAGTGGTGAATGCCCACAATTTCTTCTATAAATGCATTCAAAGCCTGTGAAAAAGTACAAATGAAGCATATAGACACTGTAGATGACATCCCTGTGATCAGTATGATCACACTGGTTTGCAGGAGTCTCCATGTAATACTCTTGGAAGCAATTTGTTTTACCATCGAGCAGTTTGATATAACAAAAGAACATATGCAGGTTTCTTACTTACGTTTGTTTCCTTGTTTCTAAATTCCTTCTCCCTTTGTAGTCTGTAGTGGTCTATCTCGGCTGTGGCTTCTTCCTTGGCCTGCTTCAGCCTTTTACCCTTTCCTAGAGGGAGAAGAAAGAGGCATTTATTTCATACCATCCCTGAATCCCCAAAGATGAATCTCTCCAAGTCAGAGATATTTTAGCTGGCATAGTAGAACACTGACTGCTGAAAGTCTTGTCCATCGGATTTATTTGCACAAGAACAGTCAGAAGAGATGAAGTGATTTACTTAGAATACTTTTTGACTGCTAGCCAGTCATGCAAGTACCCCTCTTCTGAGACCAACTTCCTGTGCAGAAGCACACATCAAATGAAGGGCTTCTTGGTTTGCTGACAACGGAAGTCTTTTTGCAAGTAGATGTCTTCCCACAACACAAATGCACTTTTTTTCTAATCACAGCTTGGTGTTTAAATAAATATCTATCTTTTCTTCATCAGCAATAGTAGCAGCCAGATAACAGATTTTAGTTGTCATGGATGGGAAAAGACGTTATTCTGTAAAATTTCCTGTATTGATTGGTTGCCAGAATCCCTTCATCCCACACCAACTGGATTCTGCTTAGAGCTGGCAGATATCCAAAATAATGCAAGATGTCTTAACCACTACCAAAGTGAATTGCAACTTTCAGGCTATGTCCTTCCCCTCCTTTTTCTACTAACCTTTGTTAAATGCAGAGGTGAGTGATTAAGAGAAGGAGGTCAATGGTATTTTTTGCCGGTTCACTGAAACCAAGGAAGGGATTAAAAATTATTGTTTTTTGCATTTCATTTTAAACAAGAAGGTGATCTGTAAGGAGATGTTTTAGGGTGTAGTGGAAACTAGAGTCTTCCTCCTCACCAGACTTGCTTACACACCTAATTTTGTTTGCTCTGAATAGTTTGTTTTAGGTAAAACAGTATGGGCTTGTCAAATCAAGAGCATGTAAGTCATTGCAGGACTGGGCATAAGGTACTTACTTTGTGGATCTAGTAAGGTTGTCAAGTAAAGAATAAGAGTAAATGGCTTGATGGAAATGTGATATTTAAGTTTTTACATGAATGAGCTGATGAGCGTGTCATAAAACCCCTATGGGCTTCTCTGTCATTTATAAAGTTGATAAAGTTGCATGGATCTCCTCAGGATTCTGCTACACTACCTTGTGAAGAAAAAGTAATTTTCTAACTGTAAACCTCTTGCATGGAATGTTGATATACTTGAGACACCTGGGCTGATGCTGATTTTTGGGGTCTCTTTCTGCTGAGCTGGGGGAATAAGCTTGCTCCCTTTTCTTATCATGAAAATATCTTTAGTAGCTGAAAAGCTGATTAGTTGCTTAAATTAGGATATCACAAGAATGAGAGAGTGGCAGCCTAGGCAACTGAAAGAGCCATCTTGATCTCATGTGGCACATGGATTTATTTACTTACTGTAACAACCTATTTAACACCTCTGAGCATTAAGAACATTTGTTTTTGGTTTTGTTTTTTTTTTTTTAGGCTTCTTAATTCAAGCACAGAAGACAAAAGATACCTTTTCTCCTTTCCTGAAATCCTAGGAAACATTCTCTGCCTAGGCTAGGAAGACGAGCGTAAATATTTCTGATATTTGTCCAAGCTGTTACACTGGTTTGGTTAAAACCTAAGCTGGGTGTCTGAAGCTGTATGAGGTGTGTCATGTACCAACTTGCTTCCACTGAGCATGGCCTAATGAGGAAGCTGAAGCTTGGGAGAAAGACTGTTCTGTTACATCTAGGATTCTTCTAAAGCCTGGATGAAATACCTGATTCAGCAGGAAATTACTTCTCCAGTTGATGGCTCCTTCCAAAATTATCTGCAGAAGGGTGAGTAGAAGCAGAGAGATGCATGAAATGGGAATTACCTTTAAAGTCTTGATTCCTGGACTCTTGGCTTTTATGTGTGTGCTTATTGTGGAACCTTGGAGGTAACATGCATACAGGCTTTTTACAGGAAAGAGAAACCTACTGAGGCACTAGATAGCTTTACTGACTCCCAGTCCATCAGTGCAGGACGTGCACAATTTCCCATTGTGTGAGAAGTTACATTTCTCAGACTCCTTCTCCCATCAAGCCACTGTGCTTATATATAAAGGGGAGAAAGGCTGTTTAAAACTTAGTGGGTACTTTTCCAGAGTTTGTATTTGCTTGAAGAAGGCTGCTTTCCCCCAGCTTCTGCCACTCACTGTATGAAGCATCTGGACCAGGATGAGTGAACTGACAGATCTGTGTGAGAGCCTGACGTAAGTCTGGACAACAAAATTTTGAACCAGGTTTAGGTCTGTATTTTGAAGTTTCCCTTATTCTCCTCTCCAAATTTGGAGCTGATCAGCCTTTTGTAGAGCTTCCACTCTGTAGGAGTGGAGCCGGGGGGTGATTCTCTGGAGCTGGCAGTTGGAGGGAGTGACTACAAAGAAGCTTTGCCAATTTCACCAGCTGAGGAACTGGATCTCTCTAGCAAATTAAATTATTTCAAAATCAGTGGGATTTTAATTTCAAATTCCATCTGGGGGGCCATCTGTAGTAAATATGTTGCATATTTGGCCACTAGATAGATAAATATATCCATTTAAAATGCACAAAATAGAAAGAGATTAACTATTAAACAACAGTTCAGTTGACTCTGACAATGTAGACAATGTAGATAGGGAACCAAAGAGTGCATGTGTATATATATATATATATATATTTGTGTCAGCTCTTGACAGTGCTCTGGAGTAATCACAATACATAGGGTGTCACTGTAGGGTGGCAGCCATTTAATTTTTCCAAGATGCCTTTAGGATTGGCACAGCAGGAACCTGCTGCTTCCTATTTAATTAAGTGGAAAATCTGTGAGTAAATTACTGCTAGTTCAACAACGTTGTGGACAGAATCGGCAACTGCCAACATATGTGATGGTGCATATGCTGCACCTGATTAAGTTAAGCAGAAACTAGAGCTTAACCTGCTGTTCCACTAGAGACAAACCAAAATTAATTAATCAGTCTGTTGTTAACCACTTGTCTGCTACCATAGTTGTGCAATACAGGGCTGCCTTTTCAAAGCCTTACTGATCTGCTGGGTTGAGTTCTCTGCAGAGCACAGCCAAGCTGAAATCAACCCTTACACACTGACGGGTGGCAGAGAACTGAAATTCAGCCAAGATCATGCAAAAAGAGGGCAAGAAGTGCAGAGGGATGGGAAAACCAGCCTGGCCCTATGACATTTCCTCAGGATCATAGAGGTGAGGTACAGCAAGCCCTAGGTTTGAAGAGATTTTTGCCACAAAAGTCATGCTGTGGGGGCCAGGACTGCTGCTGGTCTTCTGTCCCTCCTATGATCCTTGAAGAGAGGGAGCAGCAAAGCAGCTGTGCTATATGCCTGGTTTCCTTGTCCACAGCCTATAAATTTTTAGGCATAGGGTTAAATTGTCAAAATGTTAAAAAACATGCTGTGACCAGTCAGCACTGTATAGGATTTTCTTGCCCAACATGGGAAGGTGTTATTAGCATGGAGAAAGGCTGTACTCTTCTTTCTAGGTATTTCTGTGATGTTGATGAAACACCTTGCTCTGGTTAGATCCAAAAGAACTGGTGTCTTTTAGGTTGTTGGAGTTTTTATAGATCTTGCAAGAAAGACAGTAGGAGGCAAAAATGTTGCAGTCTAATTTATTCAAACACTAAGTTATCTCATGTTCCAAATACTGCAATGCTAAAATTGGAGTTTTGTTTTCAAACATATCATCTAGGCTTCTAGCTGAATTTCTGCATAAAAATCAAGTATTTTGAAGAAGTTGCCAAAAATTAATCATATTTCCTTAAAATAGAATTTCAGTTGTCTTTGCTAAATTGTCTGGAAAATGGGATTTGGAGATGTGCATTCTGAGAAAACTATGTTGTAATTTTAATAAAATAGAATAGAGGCAGCAGAGCATTATGCATAGCTTTCTCAGTAGTTAAAATATGTCTTGGATATTATCCAAGAGAGCACCATGGATATAATTCTGTTTACAATATCTTATTTTGATTAACATTTGGTTTTAATCTGATTTTCTATAATCTTTCATCTGAGTTTTCTTTTTATTAGGCATGAGGAATTCAAGGGTAGATATAAAAATCTATAGGAGAACAAGTTTTGCTAAGCTTAGTGTTTACGACACATTTGTTTGCCTTGTTTTACCCAAAAGGATTTTCAGGAGTTGATGTCTTGGTGCTGACAATGCTCAGTTATTGCTGGGATCTAAATTGTGCTTAAAGTAAAAATGATAGATAAAGCAGCACCATGTTCAAAAGGCCAAAGGATTGCAGACTGGTTTGGCTTGTGTTTAATCAATTTAATAATTTCAGCCTTGCTTATGTTAATTAAAATAATTATTTAAAATATTAATAATTTTTCAGGTATAAATGATATCTGCTAATGATATCACGCCAGGAAAAAGGGCAAGAATTAAGAAGCATGTATAGAGGAGCTTTAGCACTATATTTTTGCTTTGTTTTGCATGTATCAATATAATTTTATTTGCTAATTTTTTCAGTTATTTCAAGTGGCTTTTGCATTACCAACAACTGCAAATACGTCAGCAAAACCTAGGCCCATTAACTATTTATATACAATATTATGTGTGTTCACACAACATTTTGATTGGTTATGTGGGTATCAAGTGTAAACACTGAAGGCTTTGCATCAGGGTGCTTTTGCTATTCACATTTCCTTTCAAATGCTTTTCCCTGGTGCGTCCCACGCAGAAGCTGCCAGCCGATGTCCCAGTGTCAGCCCAGCAGCCAGACCCGTCGGTGCAGAGGTGTTGTGCAGTGTCTGCTTGGGGTGACAAAGGATGTCACAGGGCTGGGGCAGCCTGGCATGGCTGGAGGGGTTCAGTGCTTTCCCTGGCAGCACAGTCCTGCAGAGGACAGGCCCTGAGCAGCAGCTGCTGATCCCAGCTGGTGCTGGCTGGATCTGAGCTGGCCATTCTGGGGTGAAGCAGCGTGTCCTTCCGTGTCTCACCCAGCTGTGTGTGCACAGGTCAACTGCACTGCACAGATCTGCTGCATTTCATGTATTTCCTTTTAGTTTTGCTTTTATGCTCAGAGACAAAATCTCCAATCCTTTCTTTTGATCTAACTGCAGAATCAATGTGGGGAAGAGACTGCTGAAGTAATCCCAATTTAGGCTAGCCAGATTTGCCTCCAAAAGAATCCCTTTTGCCCTTGTCCCACAGTATTTAAGTTATGCTGGTATAGTTATCTAAGGTGCTGTAGTGACAGTGCTATGAAAAATACTTAAATTAGGGACAACACGGACATTCTTAATTTTGTTTTGTAGCTTCACTGCAAATTTCTTGCAATGCTGAATATAATGGTTGTCTAGGTATAATTGTTCTGGTAGATAACTTACAATGCTTGGCTTAGCACAAAATCCAGGGTGGATTTATTTAAATTGTTTGCCCTTGATCTGCTAATTTTGGAAATTCTTGAGGTTTTTCATGGAATCACACTGAACTGCTGAGGCTGGAAGGAGTCTATAGTATACACTCCTGGATGGAAGCAAGGGCAGCTTGATTGGGGCCATATCTAGTGGGTTTTGAATGTCTCTGAGAATGGAGATTCCCCAGCCTCTAGGCAGCCTGTTCCTCCCTCACAGTCACTGGGTTGTTTTCTTATGTTTAAATTTGTGTATTGAAATTCTCGTTTTCTTTAATGATTTTTATAAATGCAAGAAAATTATGGTCTTAAAAGTAATAGAAAAGAAAGCCATAGTGATGACATATTTTTACTCCAAATAATTTTACTGATAGCAAAATTCTTAATGGCTATTTTTCTGTAGCTGGTTAATAACTCCTACTAGTGTTTTAGTGTTGAGGTAAACACTGGTAGTGGTTTAATTCAAGTTTCTGACTCAGAGGGGTCTGAAGGTACTTCATCTGTAAGAAATCCTGTTCTTATCACAAGCACTCCAAGTGAGGCTGAGGTGATGGAAAAGGGAGTGTGTCTTTTGCAGAGTAGAGTAGCATCCATAATTGTATCTGGATTCTGCAAGACATTCATCTTTGGTCATCACTTTTATGTTCTAATGATGCTTTTCATTTTTGGAGTTCCTTAATTTAAGAAGCTTCCTTTTTAACTGACTTAGAGAAAAAGCTAAAACTACTCTTCTGGTTTTAAAAACAAACAAAAAGGAAATTGAAGCAACAAAAAAACCAAACCCTAAACCCAAAAGTAAAGGGTAATCCACTTCAAGCTATGATAGTTAAAGACCTCATTCTGCAGTCTGTTCAGGCCAAGCTCCTCCTCCCTCCACTGAGGCTGTGCTGTTCCAGGTCGTGTGCTCTCGCTTTGAGGGAGCAGTGTTTCCTCTGCCCTACGTGAGAAGGGAGAAAACATCCTTCCCAGAGCTCCCAATTTGGGTGTGTAAGAGGTCAAAACACTACTTAACTATCCTTTGCTTTCAGGTTTCTGCCTGAGATAGTTCTGTTTTATGAAGGTGAGAGGACTTGTTTAATCTCTATTGTATCTGCAAGGCACAGGCAGTGGCTGGGTGCTTAGGGAGGGGACTTGCCTTTCTACTTATTTTTGTGTGCTGCTGTACAAATTGATACATCACACTAAAAATTAATGAACACACAACAATGCTGATTCATGTATAGAAGGGATATGGAAACTACACAAATTATTCTGTTTAGTTTCCATTCCTCCCTGGAAAATAAAATATATTCCTTTAATCACACTCTCGCTCCACATGACATCATTGTCATGCATTTTCTTTGCATTCTGCTGCCGGTTTCTAAAGCAAGATCACTCCAGAAAACAGTATTAATATTTTACTGCTGGTGCAGGTCAATGACTCATGTGGTTGTACCTGCACTCAGGAGAATAATAACTTGTACCATGTAATAAAACTTCTGTGAATGATCTATTACAGTACCTGAGAGTGCTCATGGTTTTACTGTGACTTTGATTACTATTAGGGTGCTGAAGTCTCCCCTTAGTTCTCATAGAATTTTTTGAAGCTCAGCTTCAATTAGGAGACAAGTTACTGGATTTTGCAAGTAAGGAGGAACACTGAAAAATTTTAGCAAGTCCTATAAAGAGAAATAAAGAGTTTGGAGTCTGGTCCTCCAGCGCTGGCAGCCAAAGGCATGTAGGACTTTAACTTAAATAGCAAGGCAGTAATGACGTTATCAGCATTAAGAAAAAGGAAGAAAAAATGCAGCTGACATGATGAATATAACAAAGAAAATATTTTTTAATGTATTTAGACACGTGTACACGTACACACAAGCACACTGGATTTTAAGCAAACTCTGAATGTTCAGGTTTGAGTAAGCACCTGGCTGCAGTCAAGGCACAGCACCAGTGCATGTATACAGCTAAAATAATCTTTTTCTGTGAGCTACTGTAATTCTGAAGGGCTTGCACTTGAGAAGTACAGTAAAACCAGGCCAGCTACTTACTTTTTTTGGCTTCTTCCAGTTTGTCCTTGGCACGTTTTTCTGCCTGCAAAAGCTGCTGGATTCCCTGAGACTGGCTGGTCATGCTGATTGCTGGGGCCGGTGAACTTCTGTGGAGACTGGAGCTCAGAGGGAGTTTTATACTGCTGCCAGGCTCTTCCTTGTGTTTTTTGTTCTGTGTACTATTGCAACAACCTTCCAGATTGTACCAATGCAGCCGGCTGTGCCTGGATTGCTGCTGGGCGCACAGGCCTGGGAGTGCACTCAGAAAAACACAGCAGCACGGCTGAAAGGAATGTCCTGCTCTCCTCAGGGTCACAGAGAACTTGAAGTGTCTGATTAACACATTGGGGAGAAAAAAGAGCACTTTAAACGGCTTGTATTCTAATGGGGAATTTTTACATTTTTAGGATCTTGTTTCTGAAGCAGAATACAGTTAATCTTGTCAAGGAACTAAGGGGAAAAATATTTTCTTGGCATTTCCTTCTAAAAAAACTTCCCCTCAAAGTAAAGAATCAGGTTCAGTCAACAATTAATTTTGGTTGAATACCAAGAGCTGCTTGTAAGCTTCTGTTTAATGTTGCTTCTTAACATTACTTACTGGAGCTTTCACTTTTTAAAATTTCAATAGGAATTAATTCATTGGGGAATAAGTTTAAAAAAGCATATAGTGATTGAGGTATCCTCTGCCTTGTAATCTACCATGATGGAGGTAAGTGGAGATGAGATGGAGGGAGAAACTGTGGGATTAGCTCTAAGATCCAGACTCTTGGAAGGTATGAATGGGCTAGGTTGTACTTTCAAGTCATAATGCACCCAACAGGCAAATGAATGCCTGAGCACAACTGTAAATGCACATCCCATTCCTACAGAAGGAAAGAGTGGTTTGTCAGCTACTGCATGAATCAGCAGCATGTTCATATTTTGAATCCTCCTTAAAAAAACCAAAAAAATCCCACTTCTTACAGGTACTTCAGCCATTGCATAGGAGAGGGACATGTCATGTTGCATAATTAAAATAGATTAATTTTTGTAAAAAAATACCTCACAGCACAAGTAAAATATATTTATTACAGGTTCTTGATGGAGCTCTGCCAGGACTGGAGATCACCTCCTGATATAAATATTTTTTCATGCTTCAATTTTATATACACAGTTATATATTTATACATGTGATACAATTTCTGCATATATTACAAATAAAATGCATTTATATAAAAAATCTTTGATGCGCTCTGTTAATGGTTCTTACTATAGGGCCCTTTGTTTTCTTCCCTGGGCAGCTGTGTCATGCTCCTTCCTTTGTGCTAGGTTGTTACCTAGCCCTAATGAGGACATGTACTACTGCTATGAAGTCTTTTTTTTTTCTTCCCTGTCAAATAGCTTTAGGTTTGAGAGAAGATGGAAGGTGAAGCCTCTTGCCCTATTAATGTTTTTGGCAGTTCCCTAAACAACAGCAGGACTGACACCTGGAAAAGGAATTTGTTTGGTTTTCTGTTCTGTGATACTGCAAAGTCAAATTTCACTCAAGCTCTGCCTTTCTTACAGTGTATCAATCACTGAGTTTATTTCTTCGTGCAGAAGCCATGTGAGATGCTTGCTCATCTCCAGCACTGAAACCAGAGGTTCACTCTAACTGCAGGACAGCAGACATGGTACTGATTTTAGATTTTAATGCATAGCCTTGAAGTTTATTTTATTCAGACACAGAAGAAGTGATGATCAATTCTACAGAAAATGTGGAAACTGTAGGGTTAGGAAGCCATTTGCCACTGGGATTCAGCTACTAGTGATATTACTGGCAAAGAAAAGCAGAAGTGGAAAATGAAAGTAAAAAATGAAGAGATCTGGTTTACTTGGGGCAGGGAACTTCGGCTCAGAACTTTAAAGCAGAAGTTACTTAAAAATTAAATAGGAAGTTGAAATGTCAGACTCGTCTCAGACATCAAAAATATATTCCAGGCAAAGGGTCTTATCAAGCAAATCTTACTGCTGTGAGAAATGTTACAAAACTAGTAGCAAATTAAACTGTTTCAGTTTCTGGACTTGGCTGAAAGCATTATGCCTGAGACCCTTTGAATTTTCAGAGCAGTTCTCAATGCTATAATGATATAATTCTGGCCTCACTAATGATTTGAATTTTGATATTTACAATCTGTTAATTAATATTTCACAGAAAATGGTTCTATATGATGAATTTTTATGGGAAAAAGATCCAATCTTCAAGAGATTATGAAGCTCTTTCACTGTGAAAAAAAATATATATATTCTTTACGCAGATCATTTCATCTGCACATGTCACAGTTAACACTTCTAATATTTTTCTTAATTAAAAAATTTAAATTTGTAATTCTCCTTGTGTCCAGGTTTCCATACAGTGGGGTGGCATGCCATGCTGGCCCTCATGGCATCAGGCTGGTACTAGTGCACATCTGCAGGGGAAAAGATGATAATTTATTTTGGCTGGTGCTTATACACATTTTGTTAGACTCCACACAAAGTACTGCCTCTTAGAACTGATTTCAAAGCTTTTCTGATGATGTTGGTGATTACCTCAGACTATGCTGACATGGCACCTCTATGTATCTCACCTCATGGATAATTCATTAAAATGAAGTAGGTTAAGCCACTGACTGGCCAAACAGGCTCCTACTTCATCTCAGAAACCAGTAAGAAACTTCTCTGTGTTGTAGTTCCTGGCTTTCTTTCCAAGTCAGCTCCACACTCATTTAATTAGAAAAGAGAAGCTGATGTGCTGACTGATGATGGGGGCAGGAGAAGTGTTACCAAAATGAAAGAGGGCAGAGAAAAGGGGATTTTTTTTGTTTTGTTTTTTTAAAAAGTCTCCTTTTTCTTCTCAGCATTTTGTCTATCTGTCTTGGGCTCCAGAATTTCCTGAGCCTTTTCTGGTTATCCCCACTGACGGAAAGGGAAAAATGGGCTGAGTTCTGGCATTCTTAGCCCTTCAAAGCAAAGCTGTTGAACAAGAACTCTTGAAGAGTGTTACAAGGAATGAGAGACCCAGCTGAGCTCTCCGTGCTCACCCACAGCTTGAACAGCAGAAACACTCTAAATCAGGCATTTCAAGTTTAGATGCAGGCTGTGCAGCTGCTGTTTTATCTCTGCAGTGGGAAGGCCAGGGCCAGTGGCTGAATTCATTGTAGGTAATTCAGATTATTTTATTTGGAAAAAAATCTGCTTGCTGTAACTCAGATTGAGCCTAATCTAGCATGAGTTTACCACCTTCTCAATCCACCTACTACTGAGCAGCAAAGATAGTGAGTGCTGTGGCATCCCTTTATTGTGGCTTAAGTGTGCACAGACTCTCTATGTAGGAGGGCAACAGGCAGAGTTTCCACTGAAACGTGTTTAACTTGAAGGTCTCCCATGCATTGTCTCAGTGGCTGGATTTCCCAGGGCACACACTTTTTAAGTATCTTTTTTTATAATTATGAACTGAATTATTTCCAAATGAGCTGCATTTGCTGTGGCAAGGTGCAGATGTGTGCTAAGTAGCACACTGTGTTCAGGCTACAGCTTCAAAGCAGCAGCAGTGATTCAGTGATAAAGCCTTAGGATCAACAGTGTGTCAGGCAGGACAGCTGCCTTGGGTGCTTTTAGGGGGTCTGTGTGCCATTTGTTTTGTTGCTTTAGAAAGGCCTAAGTGAGGAAAAGCAGGGTGCACACCTGCATGGCTTCCTGCAGCATGGTGGGGATTGTTCCTCATAAAAACGGAGCACCTTCAAATGCAATAGGATCTGTCAGGCTGAGAAAGAGTGATGGGCTCCTGTTAGCATCAATAGCAAAAGGTCTTTGTACACAAATTGGTAAGTATACAGTGAAAACCATCACTCATATCTGAAAATCCTGGTCTTTTCTCTCTGAATTAAAAAACCCTGTTTGCTTATATTAGAAGAAAAAGTTATGACTTTTTTAGTGAAGTTGTAATTATGTCTGCAAGCTAAGATTCTTGCTGCAGCATTTTCTGACACTGACAGTTTCACTGTGGTGACATCACCACAGTTGACCTCAGCAGCCTGAATTTCACCCATTGGCCTGAAAAACATGGGAACAAAAATGTATGCAAAGACGAATAAATATTAAAATATTGCTAGAGGCAGCTTGCTGCCACAGTGTCTGGGTGAGCTTATTGACTGCTGGCCAAGTCTGCAACACAGCCCCAGCTTCAAATGCCATAGCACTCTGATGATCCTATATTGAACACCTACTTTAAAGCAGCTCATATTTTTTCCTAAATTTGGCCTGTGTCTTAATAGAAGTAATTTTGTTTCTTATAACCCAACCATAACGCAACCATAGGGGGTTTCACATTCAGAGACAGACAGTTTGAGCTGTATATTTAATTACTTTTCCTAAAGATCTCTTCAACATCCAGGAGAAAAGAAAAAAAGTGTCCTTGTTTGAAATATCACTGCTCGTATGATAATTCAGGTAAATATTAATTTTAAAGAAGTGCAGAAGAAAAAGCAGCAGAAAAAAAAGCCATAGTTTCTGTGTCTCTAACTTCCAGATTAATTTATAATTTGACTGTCATTATCATTGTGGTTATTTCCTTTTCTTACTGTATGGTGTGATCACCTCAGCCAGCAAATCCCCACCCAGCAGATCACATACTCCCCCACAGTGGCATGGGGGAGAGAATCAGAAGAGCAACAGTGAGAAAACTTGTGGGTCAAGGTATAAAAGCAGTTTTAAAAATGAGGAGAAAGAGTAGGGGGACACAAACTGATGCAGAAGAAGTCACTTCTCACCTCCCACAAGCAGACCAGTGCCTAGTCAGTCAGCCTCCAAAGAGGGGGTACTGTGGAAAGGCCAAACCCCCAGTTCTGTGGCTGAGCCTGGCACTGTGTGACATGCAGCACCCCTTTGGTCAGCCCGTGGTGCTGTCCTGGCTGTGCCCACTGCCAGCCTCCTGCCAGCCCTGTGGGCGACAGAGCTGAGAAGAGAAAGCCCTGACACCCTGCAAGCCCTGTTCAGCACCACCTCGAATACTGGTGTGCTATCAGCACAATTTTAGTTGCAAGCTGGCAAGGTGCAGATGTGATGAAACAATTAACTTCGTTG